ACTCAGCAACGGTGAGGAGGCCAAATATGTCTTCAACTCTTTGAAGGCCTTCTGATACTCTTCTATCCACTATAAATCCTTTAGCTTCTTAATTGCTCAAAAGAAAGGCAAGCATCGATCGACTGATTAAGACATGAATTTGCTAAGGGTTTGTCTTAATGTCTCGTTGCATCACCATGAAGCCAAGGAACTTACCCCATGTCACACCAAAGGTACACTTGGTCGGATTCAACTTCATTTGATACTTTCGTAGGATGCCAAAGACGTCGTCGAGCTTGGTCATGTGCTAGTCGGCTTGGAGGGTTTTCATGAGCATGTCATCAACATATAATTCGGCATTGTGACTGATTTGATCCTTGAAAATCTTGGACCAATTTTTGGTAAGTGGTTTCAACATTTTTCAACTCAAAAGTTATCACCTTGTACCAATACGTATCGGTCTCAGTGATGAAGGTGGTCTTCTCCTTATCATATAGGTGCATCTTGTCTAATTACAATTGGAGAATGCACCCAAAATACTAAGGATTTTATACCCCAATGTGGCATCGACAAGGCAATCAATTCTTAGAAAGAGAAAGTTGTTTTTAGGGTAGCTTACCATAACCACATTAACTAGCTTATCAAGATCATATACATCATTAATGAAATGAACTTTAAGTAATTTGTCCACTTCCTCACTAGTCATTTCCCATTGCTCTAGTGCAAAGTTTTTCTTCTTATATCAAACTGGCTTAAAGCTTGGGTCCACACTTGGCCTGAGTCATGGTTGAGGGGTCAACTCTTGGTATGTCAATGACAAACCAAGCAAATACATTGGTGTTGGTCTAAGGGAACTTACCAGTTCGAAGCATGTATCCTCTAGAAGAAGGAACCCATTCAATATAGTTCTTTTAGGCTCGGCCTCATCTAATGGTACTATGACAATGTCCTCTACAAGTTGACCATGATCGGTCTATAATTCATCTTTGAGGTCAAGCCTTTCCACTGGAATTGCTTCTTTTACCTTTCCTTTGAGTGTTGCTACATAGCATTACCTAGATAGTTGTTGGTTACCCCTCATCACTCTAATGTCGTGGTCGATTGGAAATTTCATTACTATTAGACCTGTTCATGGGCCGGGTAGCCCAATGGCCCGGCCCGCACCCCGATCGGGCTTGGTCATGTAATTAGGCCCACGGGCTTGACCTCGGGCCTAACACAGTAAGACCGACTATGTTTCAGGCCGAGCTCGGGATTTGTCAAAAAAGCCTGGCCTGAGCCTGGCCTGAGCCTGGCCCGGCCCGACTCAGCATTATATATTTTACAAAATATATAATATGTATTTTATATATTATTTTCTTTATAATTTCTCTCTCTCTCTCTCTCTATTCAGCCGCTTCAGCAGTAATAATAGTAACAGTATGGGCTAAATTTCGGTCTCGAGCCCAGGCCCAGGCTTCAGTCTTTTTGAGGGCCAAGCTCGAGCCCAAGTTGTGGGTCCGATGGTCGGGCCGGGCTCAGGCTCAGGCCTTAAAAAAGTCTGTTAATATAGAGTGAAATCCCAGCCCGAACCCAAGCCCGACCCAACCCGGCCCATGAACAAGTCTAATTAGTATATTAGTATGTGATATGAAGATACTATTCACCTTATATGGAGTGTAGTGTAGGTATCACGTATAAGGCAAGCCAAACTTAACAACCAAGAACTTAATCATGAGGGTGGATTGTTGGAACTCTATTCCTATCATGACAGGTAGGGTGGTCTTTCCTTTAGGCTTGATGGTTGCCTTCAAGAAATAGATTAAAGGGATGTCGATGGGTTGAAGTCAATTTGGGGTCAGGTTTATCCTCTTGAATCCATCATAAAAAATGATGTCGACTGAAGAACCATTATCAACAAGTATTCTTTTGACATCACAATTGGCAATCGTGAAAGAGACCACCAACACATCACCGATAACCCTTGTAAGTCTTCATTAGAGAAAGTGATAACTTCCTTCGGTTTGACTTTTTTTATGGGCCCTATGTTTGATCTGCAATTATTGGGGCATATGCCTTCTTGGTGGACAAACTATCTTCACTTATTGCTTGGTTTCCTAAAAGAACGTCGATGACCATAAATAGGGTTTTGTTGGATCCAAGGCTGACCCAAATGATTAATTCTTTTGGTCAAAGTCTTTCAAATACCCTTTTCTTATAAGATTTTATGTCTTATTCTTCAATTCTTGGCATCCGTTTGTGTCATGGACGATGCCGTGATAGCGATTACCTTTCTTGGCATTTTTCTTCTTCTTTGTCGGCTAGTGCTTGTACTCTTACTTCCCGACCTACACGAGAATGTGGGTTTGGGAGGCATTGAGGGGAGTGCAGATGTCATATGATGGAAGAACCTATTTGGACAACTTGTCATTCTTACTTTGTGATCTTTTAGGCCTTGTTTCATCTCTGTTCTTTCTCTTCCTATTAGCCCATTCATCTGTAATTGTGCACTTGCTAGCTTTAGATTCCTTTGCATTTATGTACTTATTGGTTTGTGATATAAATTCTATCATGTTCCAAGGCAGTTTCTTTGCAAGGAAGAAATTAAAGGTTGATGATGTCAAGCCATTGGTGGTAGCCATGAAAGCAATATCTTGGTCGAGGTCTTTGACCTCCAAGGCAGCAGCATTGAAGTTTTGGATATAGTCCTAGAGAGGCTCATCCTATTTCTATATGATCACTAATAGAGTAGTAGAGGTCTTATAGCAATGCTTGTTGCTCATAAAATGGGAGAGGAAGAGGTCTGCAAATTGGCCCCATGAGGTAATGGATCGAGAAGTGAGACTTAAGAACCACCACTAGGCAACTTTCTTGAGTGTGTCTTTGGCACATTAGGGCATCAGAGAATCTATTGAATAGCATGATTGCATGAAACTCTTGATATGGTCCTTTGGGTTAGTGGTACCATCATAAGTCTACAAGTTGAGAGCCTTTAAGTTTGGGGTGAGAGGATCTAAAATGATCTCGTTGGTGAAGCCTTCCATCCTACTTGTTGAGTTGTAGTGACTAGAGAAGGCGTCTACCTTACCCTCTTTTACTTCCTTGATCTTAGCTCGACTAGCATCAAATTGTGCTACTAAGCCATCGATCCTTTTATCATGATACCCTAGGGGGACTTTGGCCATGGGTGTCTCCCTAACCCATGAAAGATCAAGGTCATTATGGGAGTATCCTGATGATGTAGGGTTGTGTCCTCTTTGTGCGTGATGGTTGTGAAGTGCTTACACATGTCCAACACCAAGATGGACGGGGTTGGATGACGACTAACACTTCTCTATTTTCTTAAGGCCTGATGACCGATATGAAGACCAATGTACATGTTGCTTTCAGCCACTGAGTTGAATTGATCCTTGGTGTGGCTCAAAGGTAGAGAAGGTTGGCTGGCCTCCTATAGAGGTGGTCATTGACATCAAAGGGTCAGCCATTATGATGTTGGCCACCCGCCAATTGTCGCAAGTGGCATACGTCATTGTCAAGGAGAACTATTTTCTCCATTAATTGCCAGAGAACTTTTCTTAGGTGGCATGAACTTGCAGTGCAAGAGGGGAACTGTGCCTTAAGGGGGGTGAGCGATTTTCCGTTCTTGAATTGTCTTCTTGATGGGCCATGATTCATATGTCAGTTGTTCTACAGATGGCACCAGTTGATGCTACTGAAAATTGTAGTAGGAGTAATTTGGGAACTTTTGAGGTGATGTGGACAAGGTGTTGAGGTGAGATGAGAGCAAGAGCGAAAGAGGGTAAGAGAGTTACTTGTGGTTCTGGCCCTTATTTATAAGCGAGGTCCCATTATTAGCTATGTTATGGGCTCCTTGTAATGGCTTAACACGTTGAAGTGTAATGAAGGCCAAGGCCATTAAGATGGTGACCACATGGCTGAGTGTTACTTTAGCATAAATGAACTTGAGAACTCAACAAAGGTCATAATGTCAAATCACCATTAAGGCCAAGGAAGAAATACCAAGGATGGGACCTTCAGAGTGATGGGCAAAATGGAGGGGTCCATCTGGATCAATGTGACAGAAATGTGGATTTTAAGATGGATGAGTGGAAAACTAGACAGAATATGATTAGGGATGAAGTGCCTAGGAATAGCTCCAACAGGTGATAAAATTAGAGAAAACAGACTAATGGTTTGGTCACATGTTTAGAAGACTACCAACTATGCCAGTTAGAAGAAATGATTTGTTACACATTAAAGAGTTTAGAAGAGCTTAGGATAGACCAAAAAGTACATGGGTAGAAGTAGTAAGAAATGATTTAAGCACAATTGGTATGGATTTAAATAGAACGGATTGGCATTGGCAAAACAGGATCCATATGGATGATTCCATGTTGTTGGGATAAGGCACGGAAGATGATGATTTTATTTGATTAATTATTTATCCATTTGATTTGGACAATATGATTCTATAAGGATAAGTTTCATTCATAAGAACAAAAAAAGCATATGAAGATACATTTTTTTATTTTTATTCTTGACTTAAAATATTAAAGTACCAAAATATGCTATTTAAGACTTATTGGATATAACTTTAATTTGGGAAATTTAATTTAGTTGCCAACATTATCCTTGGTTGGCATAGAGAACTAAGGGTCCATTTGGTTTATGAAAATAGGGGTTTGGAATTGGAATCCTATTCACATTCTTGACAGAATGGTATTTTCTCATTTGAGAGAATGGCCATTCCCTCCCCCTCTCTTGGGAATGATAATCCTATTCTAGTTGATTCTGATTCCAATTTTGATTCCTGTCTAAACCAAACAGACAAGGGATTTTTCTGATTCCATAATTCTTAAAATCATGTCTTAATTTTTCACGATTCTTTTTTTTGTTTTTCACGATTCTAGTTTCCTATAAAACAGCCCATCAAAAAGGATTTCTACAGGTTACGTATATAATTTACATTGTATTTGTCCTATTCTTCTGGTTAAGTAAGTTGGTAATAACGAATCAAACATAATTTAATTTACTAAATCGAATAAAAATTAGAACTCATCACTCTTCGTAATGGGTCTCAAACAAAATATATGCTTTCTGTACCGAGCAGGGGTCATCAACTAGTATTTTGGTTATGGGAAAGTCTTTTTGTTTGAGGCTCTAAGGGGCCCTTGTGCTCGAAACATGGGACAGATGGCAAGTTGTGGGCCCAGAAACTGTACTGTCTTGTGTCCCCAGACACAAGCTTCAGCGTTTTCCATTTATATATATAAAGCTACTACTTTACCACAAGAATATGTTTACCTGAGTGCTTGCCGGCCGGACAATCACAGAATTGCATTCTAAAGAAATGCCACCGCGCCACCGCCCTTCAGAACAACCAAAATGAATAGCTTGACGAATGGTTGATCATTTGATCTTCGTAACGCATCTGTGTGTTTAAACACAGTCGAGGGTAGAGTCTCTTCCTCCTCACCAGTCACCAGCGTCGTCGACAATTTCCTCTCTCCATGCTGCCTCTCCACCACCTTCGACGTCGAGCAGTTAAAAAGGCTACAGCTTTACCGATAGAGAGGATCCATGGCCTGCCTCTCTCTCTTTCTTTCTTTCTTTCTTTCTTTCTCTCTTTCTTTCACGCATATAGATATAATGTTCCTCGTTATATGACTTAGCTTTGTAGGTCTTCTCCAAGTCAACGTTGTGGGATTTCATTAATTATCTATACGAAACAACCAGGCTACTTCGCCTCTTCAGTTTTCACCAGAAGACCCTATATCCATATCCATAGTTAATACTCATCGGCAGTCCAATCCCCACGCTTACCTTGTCATGGGCTTCTATCGCTCCATGTATTTACCAAATTCTCCTAGCTAGTCTCAGTTTGTATGCACCTGTGTAAAGTGTAAATTGTGATTTACTTTGTTTCAAATTTGACTTTGTCTTATTTCTTTGTGGGAAGTAAAATGTAGTACCACTTTATATGCAAGTAGAATAGAGGCAGAATGAGTGTGTTATATATGTTTTTGACATTGAGGTAGGAAGCAATCAAAATGGCATGGTTGGCACTTTATGTATGAAAGATAAGGTATGAAAATGGTGGTACAATTTTGCATCAGTTTTTGAGATACAATTTTGCACTGCCAGGGAGTATAAATAAGAGTACAAATTTTATATCAGGAAAGAGTGCAAATCATATATGATTTCAAACAAACGAATGCAAAACTCAATTGGGTGCAAAATTTGTATCTAGTTCAGATTTTCACTACAAACAAACAGAGCCTAAAGTATTCTCTATCAGTTGAATATGTCTTGCCAATTACATAGATTTATTGACCTTGTCAAGGGAAAAAACAAAAAAAAAAAACATAGAACAGCCTTCATACATGGCTTACATTTCGAATTTCCAATCTGAGTTTTTCTATGGTTTGGGTTTAAATTTTTTGAGATTTGTGTTCGGCCTGCACATGAGAAGTCAAGTGTAGCAAAATATTGGCCCAAACTTATCTTATAAAAAAAAATATATTGGACCAAACTTGGGTTAAGGCTACAGGTAGCCAAGCTCGATTTAAGCATAGCCTGGTGTAGACTTCAGTTACCCAAATGCGGCTTGACTTCAATTTGATATCTAAACCTTATACATATAACTTTTAAACCATTTGAACAGTCCAATTCATTTTCAAAGACATAAAAGTAATCATATTTGAAGGCCAATAAACTCGCCCAAACAAGCTCAGTTAGACACAAACTTGAAAGTGTTTTGCATGGTTTAGGTCAGATTAGGCTTGGGCCTATAAAGTCAGGTTTGACTTGAGCCAGGCCCAGGATCGGACTCAAGTTTTCACTTTAGAATTGGGTCTGGTGTGGCTCCAAGCCTAGCTTCCAAATTGCAGCCTTAGTATCTAATCCACCTTGTCCAAGAACTTAGATATTAATCTGAGACTAGCAGCTTAAACAGTCTAAGAATCTTACTCAAGGAAACCCAGTCATCAATTAGATACAAAAATAGTGTAGATAAAAATCCAGAAAAGATAATATTATTTGTCACGGCTGTTCTTCCTTTCTTTTCTTATTGCACCAATTAATAATAAAGATTAGATCTATCTGTCTGTGTGTGCGGTTGTGGGTTTTATTAATTTAGAGGGCATTATTGGCATACAATTTTTTTTGGTAAAGATAAGTCATCCATATTGCTATCTATTTGTAAATCTACCATGACTCAATGTTCAAGGTACACAATCTTGGTATATACAAAGACAGGTTACCTGGCTTTGTCAGTAGCATGTTTGAGGAGGATTCAATTTCTTTTTTTTTTTTCCTTTATTTCTGCCCCTTACCCCAGCTTCCCCTTTCACTCTCTATACTTTTGACCATGAATGCTGAATCAAAGTGTTATCCTTCTCCTCTCTGTCATTTAATCCAAACCAAGGGACAATGAGCATTTTCACAATACAAGGAGCTAAAAACTGTCACCCAAGTAACTGTCATGCAAACATGTACGTATGTTTTAAAGCAGACTTGGATTAAATCTGAATCTGATCCAGGTCTGCATGATCTGAACCTAATCAGATATCCCTATATCTGATTGGATTCGAATTTCAATTTATGTGGTTGGATCCAATCTGAATCTGACTCGACTGCAGCCATAGACCCAAGTATAAGTCCAGGAAGAATAAACTGAAAAAGCTGAAAATAGTCATGCTGAAAACTAAAAAAGCTGTCATGCTACTGAAAAAGCTCCCCACCATGCCACCTAAGAGATCCATATTTCATTTTTCTTATTTGATATGTAAACAAGCTATCCAAAACAGAATTTTCTTATTTAACCAAAATCTCCTACTTCTATATTTTTGAAGTCCTAGAGGTCATTTTACTCAAATGACCTCTATTTCCATGGCTGCCATACTACTGAAGATGATGATGATGCAATGTATAACCAAATGGCTGCCATGCTCTGCCCGTAGGCTATACTAATTATAACAACTACACAGAAGAAGATACCTTCAAAGTAGACCTTTCACGGGCTGGGTTTTGGGCTCTACTTTACATGGTTTCAGGCTTGGGCTTGGAGTTGGGTCCTTTAAAATTTTGGCAAAAGTTAAGCCCAAGCCTGGCCCAGAAAAAGGTCTACTTCAGAGCATAAAAGAAATATGATCAGTGTCAGTAAGATACCTTGAAAGAGAATTGTATTCATCCATCAATTAGTATTTCGAATCCATCATCACTTACAAATGAAGTACCTGATGAAGTAATAACAAAAGGAATTGTAGGAATTGGTAACACTGGAGATTTTGCTCGTGTAATAAATTTCTGACCTGAAAGAAGTAAAACAGAATTTGGAAAAATTGCAGTTGATCCAACTAATCTAATCTCCATAATTTTATGACTTCTATAAACTTCAAATGCAGTTTCTAATATAACATTAGACCATATAGAATCAAATTGCATACAGTTGACCTGATGTTTTAAAAATTACAAGTGCGAGGGGTTCCTAGAGCTTGAATTGCAAGATGAGGTGCATGATTGAATTAAGATGTCACCTTTGAAAAAAAGAAATTTAATATACAAGAATACATAAATCTAAATTCTGTAAGAAATAAAATATTTCAGAAAGTCTATTATCACAAATAGTTATAGTACTAACCTGAAAGTAGAGTTTTGATTTATGGAAACTAAAGCCAGTTAAAACTAATAGTCATTAAAAGTGCCTTTTCATTCAGATCTATAGTGACAGGTGAATAAAAACATAGATCTGCATGGAGGCAGAGATGCCATTGGATTGAGAGGCTTCCCTACATGCATAGGTTTTGAGACTTGAATAGGATTTATGTGTTCTGTTTTCCAATAAAGGTACAGAAATCAATGCTTTTTCTTACTTGATATGTAAACAAGCTGTCCAAAACAGAATTTTCTTGATTTGTAGCAGTCTACATTCAAGACAAAGTTTTGCTTCATTGCCTTATTGGTGTGCCATGAGTTATGCATATTTGATATGTTTTAATCTAAAGATCACCTGCATCTAGATCTGATACAACAGTTGGTTGAGATAGTTAATTTATTATTTACTTTTTTTTTCAGAAATTAGGCTATTCTAGAACCTCACCCAAATAATTTTAAGTTTCAGCACAAAGGTGGTACTTAATGGAATTTCTATTTAAGCTAGCATGCTTCTGTGGTATGTTTGACTCTTCTATGAAAATCATTTGGATATAACATTATTTAGAGAACCATATTTTTATTAGTAAATCCATTGCCCAAATACCTCCATTCTAGGTTTGTGGTGGAACAACATAAGGTGATGTCTATAAAAGTGATGGTATATTAGAGACCGTGTCTCTCATATGATTAATGTTCTCTCTACAATTGGTGAGATAAGAATTCCAGGAGTTTTGATTGACACGTTCTCTTTTTGATAAGTTCAAGATGCCTTATTGTGGATCATGCAGCCTGATATATGCAAACCATATTTTACAAGGGTTAGGGTGCTCCAGAACCAAGGTCCATGAAACTAGAAGGAAACCAGCAAATGGATGAGTGCATATCCTTCTGGAGTAATATGGACATAGCTTGCTTAGGGATAGAGCGATAATGTATTAACCATGAAATGACTCCCCAAGATCTCGAAAGGTGGTTCACCTGTTATATTGAGTATTAATTGGATAACCAAGGAAGCATTCCCCTCTAGCTAGCAGATATCTGTAATTCCATATGAGAAAAGCCTTCAGCAGGTAGGGCTGTAAACATGAAAGTAACATGTACCCATTAGATATGTGTGTGGACTGTAGATAGATATGGATACATGAAAATAATATGTATCCATTAGCAAAGTTAGGTTTACTAAAGAGTCATAGGTTCAAATATCATAAAAGTTATTTTCAAGTCATTGTATACCTCATATACAATATCAAAATCCTTCTGAATTCATTTTATTAATAATATATAATATTCTGCTTATTTTTAATTTAACTTATCAATGATATTCAATATCCAAATCTGATCCAAACTCAATTTGAACTGACAAATAAATTTGATTTGAATTTCAATATTAACAGATGATGTTTGGATCTGGGTATATCCAATTTAATCCAATCTGTCTGCAATCTTACACGACTTCTTCTATAAGGCTATCAGAGATCTGAAGATTAAAAGAAAAGCATTCAAGGGTCCACCATATTGACCAGAAGTGGTCTGAAAGACATACCTATGTGCCTGTAGAGTTCCATCCAAGTTGAATTTGATCCATGTATAGGAAAGATGTATCCAAGAGAATAATGGAGTGGTTTTGGGGGACAAAGGGAAAGGTTAGATGGAGAAATGGTAGTCTCAGTAAAATGATATTTGAACTCAACTCTCCAATGGCAGCATATGAATATGAAATAACAAAGGACATTAGTTGGAATGCACTAGAAATAGGGGAATCTCATATTTAATTTTGATGGACCCTAGGGAATCCGGAAGCTTCAGGGATTAGGGGAATCTCAAATTCAATTTTTCTGACCCCATTGATGTTGAAATTCTCCAAGGCTGAATTACATGCCTTGATTCAGGGGTTAAATTTGATGAGCATGAAATGGTGGTGGAATGTGGAGTTGAGGAAGACTGCAAAACTATAATTTGCTCGATGAGGAAAGAAGATACGATTTCTTGGAGACAGTCATAGTCCTTAGGTACCTTATTGAGTGGCCCATTCAACAAGTTCTATGTATATTGCCCAATCCTTGTCTGAATTTCAATCAACCACCTCAACTCCTAGGATGAAATTACTGCCCCCCTCCTCTAATTGAGGAGCATTATATGGTGAATGGTGAAAGTATAATATCTAATCTAAGTAAGTGCCCTGATGAAGCGTATTTTGGCAGCACCCCGCTTGCTGGCTACTCGGATGCTGACTGATGATGTGCGATCTGACTGCTCTCTGGTCATTTGGCTACTTCCTGATGGCTGATGACTCAGAAGCCGAGCTGTATGATTTTTGCTAGATGAAGGCTTGGATGCCGAGTTGACTTGGCAGACTAGGGGGTTGATCGAGTACCGAGCTAGATTGATTGTCGAGCTGTGTAGCTTTTTCAGAGAAACCTGCAAGGAATCAATGTTAGAGGACCCGTGGTGGCTAACCCGGCAAGGTCGCTCTGATGCTTAAGTTAGTACTCTTTTAGTGATTGTGAGCTATAAATTAGAAAGTATGAGAGCTAGAATGCACTTAATCGCGCATACCTTTTCCCCTGTGTCATTGGGGTTGGTGCCTTTATATAGGTATTGTTTGGTGTGGGCTTCACGCACCACATCCGAGATTTCCGGGAGGTCGTGCCTAACTGGTTCGAAATCCTCAAAGGTAACTGCCACGCACGTTGACCATTCTCTGGAACACTCGGTACGTGGGCCAACTCCCGAGAAACTTGGGAGTGTCGGGATATGCATACCGAATTTGTCGACGGGCATATCTCACAGGTCGCCACCTAGACCTTAGTTAGGCCGACAAACCCTTGAGGGAGGTCGCTCCTCGCGCCAAGGTCACTTCAGCCAATGACGAGGTGCTACAGGTCGGCCCTGGATGAGGTGCTCCTAACCGACCTAAGTTGTGGCCGAGGTCAACAAGTCAGAGCGAAGACGAACCACGATCTGGGACTCCAAATCATCGCTTAGGTGGTGTTTATGTGTCATCCAACAATTCCAAGATGCCATGTGTCACGATGTTACTGGAGGGCCAAATTTGCCCTCATCAATTGCCCCCCACTCTTGAGCTGAGGGCAACTCAGCGAAGGGAGAGATTGCTCCTTTTGGCCTGGAATGATTGTTTGATGAGCTCATAGTTATTGGCGTCGACCCAATTTGCTTCTCAAGTCGGAAGAGTCCAAGTGTTTGCAGCCTTACGCAGGACCTCTCCGTCTTGATTTTCGGGGCACGAGAGCGAACTCATCCGCTCGAGGAGAGGTGAAACAGGTACCCCAAGGACATCTACCTTATTAGGGATGCAACCATCAAGGGGTTCTGCAATCCGACCTATTACCTCAAGAGCGAAGCTCATCATGTCGCCCTCATGAAGGGGTTCTATGTGACTACTTTATCAGGTCGCTCCACTTAGGTAGACTTCGACGCAGTGTCACTCGATCTAGTTCTCAAAAGAGTAGCCAGTGATTTCGACATGGAGCCTGAAACCGAGGTGAAGAGATCGGCCAAGTTTGCATCTGTCATGATGCTGAGAGTGAACTAGATTTTCCTTTGTTCTCTTTCTCGTGCTGAATGCAAACTGCTTTTTATTTCTCCCATGCTGAAGAGGCGACTGGGTCTTATTCGTGTTTAACGCCGAGGTCACTTTTCGTTTGGTGTCGTAGCCCTTGGCTCTAGGAGCGACTTGTGGTCCACTCTCCTTATCCTTGATCTTACCCATGCCAAAGGGGCGACTGGGTCTTATGTAGTGCTGAGGTCTTTTATCAGCTCGGCACCTTAGCCCTTAGGCTCTGGGAGCGACTCATAGTCCACTCTCCATTTATTTAGCCGACGTGCGGCCTGACCTGTTCGCTTAAGCAGGTGGTCATTCTGTTGTAACTTTAGATGTGGCAACTCCTACATCGTCACTTGAGATTGGCTTATTCGGGAAGGTGCTTGCAAGATCATGGCGTACTGCTCTTAGAACTGTTGACCGCCTGCTCCTATTGGAGTCATGGGAGGCTCACCCTGAGGGGTTAGCTCTGCTGTCTACGGATCGCCTACTTTCACGAGAACCATAAGGGGCTCGACCTATGAGGGTGGTTCCACTTTCAGCTCGCTTCCAACTCTCAGGGGGGCCATAAAAGCTCGATCTATAGTGAGGCTTCGCAGTTCAGGCTAGAGGTAGTTCGGGTCAGATCGTTGAGGCTCGTTCGGGCTGGTTATTCATTTCTGTTCAGTTTGTAGGTTTTGTCATTACTTTCGACGTTAGATGATAAGTTGATGCTACGGTTGCACTGCATCAGCCTTCGGAGACGCTGGTCGCCAACTCCTACGAGAAGCCACAGGGAGCTCGACCTGCAGGGGCAGCTCAATTAGCTGTAGGTCGCCAACTTGAGCGGGAGACTTGAAAGGCTCGACCAGCAAGGGCGTCCGCACAGTCTGTAAGCCGCTAACTCCCGCGGAAGCCGCGAAGGGTTCAACCTGTAGGGGAGACCTCGCGAAAAAGGCTAATGAGGCTCGTCCGGGCTGAAATGAGGTTGGTAGAGCTGCTTTACCGGTTGATCATCAACTCCCGCAGGAGCCACAAAGGGCTCGACCTGCAGGGGCGGCCTTACTCCAAGGTGCCTGTCGTCAAACTATTGGTTGTTGAGGTCATTCAGCTGCTGATTGTTCTGTGAATGCGCCGAACTTCTCCCATGCTTACACCCGATTGTCACAAGGGGGTTCTCAAGGTTTGTCAGTTGTTCTTGCCCCCCAGTAATTGATTTCGTTCTTGATGTTGGTGTTGCTTAAAAATGCCATTGAGTTAGCAAAAATGGAAATTAGAGAGTAAGAACTTAAATTTTTAAAAGGTGAGATCTTAGCTTTCTGGAAGATGAGAATTTAGCCTTTTAGAAGGTGAGAACTTAGCTTCTTGTAGCGCATTCCCACAAACAGCGCCAATTGATGGTGTGCAATCTAGATGCTCCTAGATGGAAGGCAGCTCGTACGCCTATCACTGACTGGATGAGCAAACTGCAAGGAAGAGGGATCAGAGAACCCGGGGTGGCTAGCCCGGCGAGGTTGCTCTGATGCTTAAGTTAGTACTTGTGTATTGGTTGCAAGCTTAAAGATTGAATGTAAGAGAGCTAGTAAGCACTTAAATCGCGCATACCTGGTTCTTGGGGGCAGATGCCTTTATATAGTTGAGCTGCCGTGAGCCCTAAGAAACCTCTCCGTGATCTTCAAATCGAGTGGTAGGAGTCAGTTCCGTTTCGAAAAGTGCTTATCCGATAAGGCTTATCGTGCCCACCTGATCCGGGCGGGCTAAGGATAAGGTTCACGGTCACTCATCGTAATCCCGAGATCTTTGGAAATGGTTGGCAAACTCATAAATGTCTGCCACGAACCACTTCGAAGCCTTTGGCTGCCCAAGGAGCTTGGACCTCGGTTCCACCGAGCTGACGAGGACCCCAAGGTGAAGAAACGACCGAGGTGGTCAATGGCGCTGAGTCATCATTTAGTTGGCGGGGTGCATCCACGTGTACTTCGTGCAATAGGTCGGACCAAGATACCCCTCATCATGCCCCATTCCTCTTAGCAAGCTATTCAATCCAACTAAGAAAAATGCCACCAAAACCCTACGATGGTTAGATCAATTGGTTACAGAAAAAATTCAACTCTTACATACAATTTTCCATTTGATAAACACGAAGAGAGGGTGCAGCTATTCAGTCCAGAAGCACCGACAATAAACAGACAGAGAGTGTGTGTGTGAGAGTCTCACCTAAAGCCGAGAACGAGATCGAGATCGTTCTCTGCTTGCCGTCTTGTTGTGGGAAAATCGAGACCGAGATCATTCTCCAGCTGTCATCAGGTCATGAGAAAGTCAAGATGTGGTTGCCAGTTGTGAGAAAATCCAGACAGATGTCATTCTCCGGTTGTGAGAAAGTAGAGAGAGAGGGAAAGACAGAGAGAGAGTGGGAAGAAAATGATTTACACGGGAGAGGAGAAAAGGAGACCTAACTTTTTTGGTGCCAGTTTTATAGCAGCAGTGGACAATGTTTTTAGATTTTATTCATCAGTAAAGAATGATTTTATTAAAATAATGAAAAGATTACAAGTACATCCAGAACCGGGACTGTATACCCAACTGCCCATATATTGTATTTAGTTTTTAGAATCCGCCATCCGATTAGAAGTTCTCTTAACCTAACTGAAAACTGCACCTACTTTATTCACTAGCTTCCCAATTTCCCTCAAAGTTTGCCTGTAGATCCAAGCTCCTGGGTTGTTTCTGCACATCCATAAGATTACCAGCTTTGACTCTCCCTCTATTTCAATATGCTGCAGTCCAATTTGCTTTGCTAATCTTAGGCCTTGTAACAGCGCTTTACTTCAGCCTTTAATGGAATCATAAAATCCAATTGATCCTGAATATAAAGTCACTACCTTGCCTTGCACATCTCTGAAAACACCTCCAATCCCTGAAGGTCCCGAATTTCCAATTGAGCTCCCATCAAAGTTCAGCTTCACCCTATTATTTCCTGAAGGCTTCCACTCCATTGTCTTGAGTTGCGTAGGAATTTACCACCTCTCCCCAAGCCCTCATAATATCATCCACAGTATATTCCTTAAAGGTATCTGTAGTTTTAGTCCAATGAGCAACTTTTATTTTAATGCTGTCTACAATATCCTCCATAGATCTGCCTTTTTTCCTTAAATAATCTCTCATTCCTTTCTTCCCAAATCATCCATAATACTGCTGCCCTTGCTGCTCTCCACATGATTCTGCCCCTCTTTCTAGTCTGTCTTTGAAGTTTGAAAGCTAGGGCTGAAGAGGGTATCTATGCTCTGGGGTGGATATTTCTTTTAGATTTTTCTTTCCGATACTTAGAAGTTCCTATGGACTATTTGATAATGGTCCCCCAAATCCCTACATTCGTTCAGCCTTCCTCTACAAACCAATTTCCCTAGCTGGCGACCATCTATTTCCCTTTAAATCCTATGCTTCAACACTTAATTCCCAAATTTTTATCACTAGTTTAATTTTTAAGGAACCCTTATCTGTCCCACATCAAAGAATATTTCATGATTAAAACAATACTAAATAGAATAGCATGAATAGCAATATCCCTCTGGTTCCAATAACTATGATACAATATTATATTACTTTGATTGGTAGTGGAAAATGAAGGATAAGGTGTAAGTATTAGGAAAAGAACATATCATTAATGTATAAATGAATTTCTTTTCTCTGCCTGGTGGGAAGTAAAAATAAGTTTATAGGCATAAGAAAAGAGGTCATCTCCTCTAAACTCTAAGCTAAGATAAATCAATTGCCAAACTTAGTAAAGCTAAGTCCACAAATATACACTTTTATAAAGTGAAGGCTTACATGACAGGTACAAACCTGCCCTGCAATTCTAGGCTCAGCATGAGACATTTTGGGACCAATAATTATCAACAGCTAAACCCTGTGACCTTCAAAATAGTAGCTACAAAACCAAATAATCTCACCCCAAAAATTCAAAATTCCATTTTCTTCTGTGCAACCTTCCCAAACAATATAGTTCCACTACTATCACAGTGCTACTCAGTTTTGTACTTAAAAATCCAAAAGCAATAGGTAGTGGTTCAATATGGGTGCAGTTATTGAAGACTGTTTCCAATCATTAGGTCAGGATTATTTAAGGAACAATTACTGCAGAATACATAAGGAAGTTGCATAAAAAACGAAGATAGTAAGTAGAGAATGTACACTAAGCAAATCTCAGAAGGATTCCAACAGGTTGAACTGATGCAGGAAGAGGGGAATAATGGAAGGGCCACTTCAATTGCTGTAACTTAGGTAAAGGTTGTTCTGTAGCTTCCTTCATTGCCTTCCTTAATGAAATTCCTGACTAGTGCATTCCAAGTCACATGATTGGGTAATATTCCATTGTCCACTCCTCTACTTAGAAGTAGGGTGGCATCATCAAGCATGCCTGCTTTGCAATGCCAACTGATGAGGGTGTTATAAGTAATAGTGTCAGGAACAATTCCTTCAGATTGTAACCTGTCCAAGAGCTTCAAAGCTTCCCAAATGCGACCACTCTTGCAAAGACCATTAATGAGGCTATTATAGGTGACTATATCTGGTGTTAACCCACGGTGTGTCATATCCATTAGAAGCTCAAGTGCTGCTTGTACTCTCCCTGTTTTACAAAGAGCATTGATCAAAATGTTGCAAGAAATGTTATTAGGTCTAACACCCTTTCTCATCATTTCTTCAAACAATCCCAAAGCCTTCTCTATGTCTCCAACTCTGCAGAGTGCTTTTATTAGGCCATTATAGGTTATGACATCAAGTAAGAAACCCCGGAACACCATTTCACTCACAAGCTTCAGTGCTTCTTGCAATGCACCTTGCCTTAGAAAGGCATGAATCAAGATGTTGTAAGTTACATTGTTAGCAATCACCCCCTCCAACAACATATCCTGGTAGAATCTTAGTGCCTCTTCAATCTGGTTTGCCTTGCATAGACCATTAATTAGAGAATTGAATGTGAATATGTCAGGCTTACATCCTTCATGTGGCATCTTAGCAAAAAGTTCCACAGCCCCATGAACTTTCCCATCCTTGCATAGAGCACATATAAGGCAATTATATACTGCAGTACTTATATCATGTCCCTTAGCTGATATCTCCTCTAGAATATCACTGGCTTCCTTCAGTCGGCCTTTCTTGCAGAATCCATCAATCAAAATAGTGTATGTTATCATGTTGGGCTCGCACTCCTTGGTTTCCATCTCATACATCATCTCCTGAGCCGAAACCAAACAACCCACCCTGCAGAGACCACGGATTAAAATGTTGTAAGTGAAAATATCAGGTTTGCACCCAACAGTTAACATCCTTTCATTGAACAAGGTTTTTGCTTCATCAATCCTTCCAACTGTCACATACCCATTGAGCAAGGTATTTAACAAAACCACATTAGGGTCTGGTAGTTTGTCCAGTAATGCCCTTGCTTTGTCAACATGCCCATTTCTACATAACCCATCCATCAACACCCCATAAGTTACAGAGTTGGGAGTGAAACCACGGAGAAGCATCCTATCAAACAACCTTCCTGCTTCATTTATCCGGTCAAGCCTGCAAAGACCATGAATGACATCATTGAATGTATCTACATCAGGTCTACAGCCCATCAAAAACATTTCTTCTAAGAGTTTCAATGCTTCAGACACCCTATTATCCTTGGAAAGGCGGTGTATCAGAGTCTGGTAAATTACTGAATTGGGCACACAACCATGTTTAGTCATTTCCTTGAGTAGTGAGCATGCAGAATCCACTTCATTTACTGAGCAAAGGGCTTTCATTACGATACTAAAACTATAAACAGTGGGACGCACTCCCTTACTCAACATTTCATAGAACACATTGGCTGCAATTTTAGCACAATCGCCAGCAACTAATATTTCCATAACAACATTATAAGATCTGAAAGTGGGTTCACAACTAAAACAATCATTCATCTCCATGAGAAGCCGGGTTGCTTGCCCAGGCAAACCAGCTCTCCCATACCACTTCATAATCACGATAAAAAGGGCTTCTCTAAAAACAATCCCTTCTTCCTTCATCTGAAGCAGTAGTCTATCTATAACCTTAAATTCCTGGGAAGCTCCAAGTTTATCAATCAGAATATAATATACATCAAAAGAATGGCAATAGGCCTTCTGCTTACTTGCCCAATTAAATATCTCCATCGAAGTTGGGGCATCGAGAGGTAGTTCAAGCAATTTACAAAGCTGTTTTGGTGTGACCCTACTGAGTGAGCTCCTGAGCTCTTCAAAATCGAAGGGTTTGAGCAATTTTTCCCACTCATTCTCACGATCCAATACACTGGTGTCCAAGTAAA